ATATATATATATATATATATATAATGTAATAGCAGCTAGAGCATTGCATTAATATTAAACTCTCTCTTATATTGACACCAGATGTTGCAATAGAAAGAGAGGTGGAGGGTGATTTATTTCTACATGACATGGGGCAAGGATTACACTTCAGACCTGGAACCTTTGATTACTGTATAAGGTAAGCTTAAAGAAAGAAAGAAAGATAAAAAGAAGGATCAAAGGGCTCATAGGTGGATGGATGGATGGATGGATGGATGGATGGATGGATGGATGGATGGATGGGTTGGGTGCATGGAACGAAGGAGGGAGGGATAGATGGATGAATGAATGGCTAGATGGATGGTAGATGAATGGATGGATGATTGGATAGAAGAATATATGGATGAATGATAGAATAAGATAAGGATGCAGGATGGATAGATGGATTGAAGGAGGGAAGCATGGAAGGGAAGATGGAAAGATGGAAAGATTGATGGAAGAAAGAAAGTAAGGATACAACTGCTTTACTTCCTTAAAAACATCAGCAGCATCATCTTTCCATTTAATGATATATGTAGATGAACCAAGACTCCCTCAACCAAACTGGTCAACTGACTGTTTTTAGCTATAGGCAGTGTATAGGTACTTGTCATGCTTACTGAATATGTTTTCTTATACTYCAGTATTTCAGCTTTACAGTGGCTGTGTAATGCAGACAAGAAAGAACACAACCCAGTCAAGCGACTTTACAAATTCTTTTGTTCATTATATGGCTGCCTGGTGAGTGACACTGTCATCTTAAATACTTTATTTTTATCCCATTTATCATCCCATTCTGTACTATCCTATCTTATCTCACTCATCCATCCTAATATCTTTCCATCCATCTATTGTACGATTATTCATTCTTCATTCATTCATTCATACTTTTTAGAATCATTGGTTGATATATCCATCCAACATTAATGACATATTTACTCATTTACATTAATTTTGTATGTTACTTTTTTAACTTTTCATTCATTGATTCATTCATTGATTCATCCATTGATTCATTCAGCCAGTCATTCATTTTTCGATTTCTTTTCTATTTTWTTCTTAGGCAAGAGGTGGCAAAGCAGTTTTTCAGTTTTATCCAGAAAATCCCAGCCAGGTAAATTAGTGCTGTTTGTGCACTAGAACTATTAGTCATCATTACTCATTTACACTACATACATGTGTCTCGCTGATGCTCCTGATATCTTGTCTTGGTTAAACAGTATCAAATTTTAGAATCTTTACCCCTCCTTCCCATAAAACATTGGTAGAAAAAATAACAAATTTTCTGTTTTTGAACTTCAGGTTGAGCTCATAACAACACAAGCAATGAAAGCAGGTTTTACWGGAGGAATAGTGGTGGATTATCCAAACAGTACAAGAGCTAAGAAGTAAGTTTACGTTGGACAGAAGAAAGTATAAAGAAATGATTGAAGGGTGGTGATGTAGAGATAGAGCACTGACCTCTTGGGTCTTGAGGTTGCTCTCAAATCTAGGTATCACAAGTGAGTAGAGTTTGTGAGGCGTCTTCCTCGATTTGAGGAGAAGGCACTACTTTTGCACTARGAATATGTTCAAATGGTTAAACTCTGGATAAATCATACCCTTTACATGTGTTTTTAACTAGTATTCACTMATTTTTCTTTTAGAATGTTTCTTTGTATTTTTGCTGGTGCTATAAATGCCAAACTTCCAAAGGTTTGTATTTATTTTCTCTATCTCCTTTCATTCTAGTTGCTTTCTCTTTCATATTGGTGTGAAAATGATGTTACATAAACCAGGACTTTGATTATAACACAGTAATATTTCATTTACAGGGATTGGGTGCAGAAGAAGCAGCTGGAGTCGGAGAGACTGTTCRATATAGCGGTAAAAGGTAGGATACTGTATGACTAGGGGATCATGAGATATTTATGTAGTATTACCCTCCACCTTTAAGAGTTATCATTTTCTGGTGTCTTGCAAAACAGAGAAAGAAATAACAAAATACCTCGTGGCAAATCTATTAAAAAATCAAAAGACTGGATTCAAGCGAAGAAAGACAGACGAAGACGACAGGGAAAGTAAGTTTTCTTAGGATGGCGGTTGTCAATGTATTGTATCGTATTTTGCATTAATATAATGCTGAGTAACTACTTTCTTTCATTTCCAGGGAAGTGAGACAAGATTCAAAATACACTGGCCGAAGAAGAAAAGCAAAATTCTGAGGAAAATTGAATGAGATAATAAAGGTTACAGATGAATATAAATCCTATAGCAGTACATAGTCTTGAATAATGAAGAAATTATGATAATTGTTCTTCCGTTTCCTTCCTTTCATTTGAGCTTTTTCCAGTAGTTTGCGTGATCATTGCTTTCATCATGGGTCTATTTAGGACCAAGGTCAAACGTTTAACTTCACATGAGCCATACACATCATTGAAAACAATGGATAATAAGGCGGCCYTCTTTTATGTTATTAGGTCTGGTTTATGTGCAGTACAACCTTTAGTCTTATTGATCAGTGAAAACGTGTTAAGGCCAATGCCACAAGCACGTCCTTTTTAAAATGAGTCAATGTGCTATCTTTCACGCGGYGTATGACAGTGTTTATGTGTCGATAGAGAGTTAGTATACTTTTATAAGTGGTTTCATAAGTATTGCATCACGTAATGTCCGTTCGTGTGAAACATTATACGATCAAAAGGCTTCCTTCGAGAGCTGTGATTGGATAGTATGAGACGAAGTGCATTTTGATTGGACATACTGAATTCCTATTAATTGTCTTGGGATATGGGGAATCAAATTTGTCATAAACTTTAATTGTTTACAGGTGCTCCTGCCGCTGCTGCTTTTTTTTTGTTGTTGTTGTTGTCGTTGCTGCTGCTGTTCTGTTGATGTATCTGCTGTTGTTTTTGCTGCTGTTGTTGCTGCTGCTGATGCTACTGATGGTGTTGTTGCTAATGTCGTTTTTGTGGCTAAAACACTGACACTGGTAATTACATTTTTGCTGTTGTTATTAACACTTTTTATAATGGCAAAGTTCGTGTGATAAAATTTCTTAAAATGTAAACAATAATCACCCGGCAGAAAACTAATTAAAAATATGTCAAAATAGTCGAGCTTTAACTGTAACACGAAAGAAAGAAAGAAAAAAAGGAAGAGAAAAAGAAAGAGAAAGAAAGAAAGAGAGAGAGAAGAAAGGAAGGAAGGAAGGAAGGAAGTAATGAAGAAAGAAAGAAAGAAGGAAAGAAAAGAAAAGGAAGAAGGAAAGAAAAAACAATTCACTGATTACAGTTCGTAAGGTAATTCAATCCCATCGTTTTGTAATAAAGAAGCAACTCCTACCATATACTGAAAAGCGCATTAATATAAAYATTCCGTAATGGATGTTAGATTTGCTATAATATAATTTACCGATACTACTCGAGCTACAATTCTCTTTGCAATATTCATTATCGACAATTTCTTTAGATTTGACTGAAAAAATTCTTCAACCCAATCAAACTATTGAATTGAGATCCAAAGGTTTTTATGATGAGCTTGGAATATTTTATTCGTGTAAGACTAGAGTCGCTAAGATAAATCAATTTGCCATCTTGCTTTTTGAAAACCCTGTCAGGGGTACGTGTCCCGCAGAATCGAGCAGGAAGTGTATTTACAAATAGCTAACTATTTCCATAAACGAAAAAAACCATATGTCAGAACCAATAGAATTTTAAAACTGTTAAATAATTCTTTTCTTTAACTAATATGATTAAAATATAATTTAAAGAAAACTAATGGGAAGGGTATTTTTGGAATGGTTGACAGATTCCAAATATAGTCAAAACTATTCATTTATGTACAAAGCGGGGAAAGCAGTTAGTTTTTGAAGTAATTATCTTCGAATTATTGTTTTTCGCGCAGAAGTTTAGGTTTCTTGAGTTTTAAATATTTAGAAAAAAAGGAGAGATCGTAGGAAAGGTGTTCGTTGCACTGTTGACACAGACGGCCTGGAGAGTACGCTTGTTCTTGGATGTGCGACAACTCTTGAAATTCAGGAACCGAAAAAAAAAACACGTCTTAATCAGAAACGTTTCGTTTATCAACAAGACAGATTTATAGAATTGTCCGACGTCGTTCAAGCTTGATGTTGAATTGTTTTCCTTTTAGTTTTATCAATGTTTGCATAAACGTGAAAGTTTATAGCTCGTTATTCACCTGTGTGCAAGCAAGTTATATTCGTGCAACGTCATTGTATTTTAAGTGTGGAAACGTTCATTCGATTTTTGCCGCGCTGAAATCGCAGTTCAACACCTATATAATTACTTTTGAGCTAGAAACAAGTTTTTGATTCATGAGGTCTGCAAATTGAACTGTTTTAAAAGTATTCCATGGAAGAAAAAATCGATGGCTGTATTTGTTAAGAAGATGAGGAAGCAACATGGAGAATATGGTGTTATTACTGCTCTTATCTTGTTAACTAGTTGGTCTTTTTCGACGTTAGTTATCGCAAGCCCTTCATATTTTACAAGTATAAAWGTTGGACTGATTTTTGAAGAACCGTCGCCATTAAGTCTGCCTACGTATTTTTTAAGTCTAATCTCAAAACTTAATAATGAATCACTTGAGACACACTATGGATTCAATGGAAGCGTCTTAAAATGGGACACTCGAAAACCACCGCTATCGAACATCAAAATTATCAAAGACGAAATACTTGAAAGAAATATCAGCGTGGTGTATAGTTTTCTGGATTGTAAAAGCAATAAATTGTTTGGGTTTTTAATGAGAGGATCCAATGTGCCAATTGTCGTCGTTTGGAGTCAAGATTCTCAATGGATGAGCGAAAGTACGGTAAGTAAAGTATAGAGTGAATTTTGATGTCGATCATGGAAGACAATAAGATGACGTTGATTCTTAAACCACATTATGGTCATCCATTGAAAAAATAGTAGTAGTTGAGGAAATGGAAAAGAAAAAAAAGAATCAAAATGCAAATGAACATCCACCTCCTGCCAACCCTTTCTTGGTACTTGCTGCTGTTGTGCGAAAGAAAAGAAAAACAACAGATGATATATATCTCACAGGAAATGCACTACGAGAAAAGCTGTGAAGAATATAGCACCAAAAATAGAAATAAAAAGCTTGGAAATTATTTAAGTTTGAATTTTTGTTTGAATTTTTGAAATTTAAGTTTGAGTATTACAAAAAAACAGTCGTATAAAATTCGACAAACATTTGGAAATTATTGAAAAACTAGCACTACACAGTTTTAAAAAGTCTCTATGTATTGTATTTTATCAGACGACACATATGAAATGCTAGAAAAGAATATCTAGAGTGAAGTAATGTTTTCGCTTCTAAACAATATAACCTGCAATTAAACCTTGGTAATCCTACAATAATTCAGTGTGTTCATATTTGTTGCCATAAGTAAATAGGGCGATGACAGAAAAGGTTTTGTTTATTTAACGGCTTTTTGGTCGTTCTACTCAGTGTTGGGTGCGCTTTTAGAATAATGCTAATCGAGTGTGAAAATAATTAATAATATTTTTAAAATGAAATATATCCTTGCCCGACCTTGGCTTATAATTAAAATTGCGATAAATTATCCCATGCAATAAAAATAGGAGACGCCAAATTGACGCGAGAAAGATTCAGGYTCAAGTCAACTAGTGTATATTTATTTACCAAACGAACGAAAGAAAGGAAAGCTTTCCCTATTTAGTTTATCGCACTTTATTTCATTTATTTAGTTATTTTTAATTAATTTATTTATTCACTTTTAATTTAAAAGAATGGCGTAAAACACTAAAGTTGTCTTATTAATCATGTCATTGGACGAGATGCCAACAAGGCTACAGACGTTTTAATGAAGGTCCATGCAAGGGCAATAAAGAATCAGCAGAAAGCTGTAATATTATTGATAAAATTAACTAATGGAGCCAGGTTATGGACGATCAATGCATTGAGATAACAAATTATGTCAATGATAAAGTTTGTTTTGTAAAAGACAGCCACATCCTGACCTCAAACTGACAGATTTGAAAATTCTGTAAATAGACTTAGATCTATAATCACAAGAACTGATCAGGATAGGAAATTTTGGAAATGAACGTGTTTCTAGTGCATGAATTCTTGATTGAATTTCAATATTTGGTAGGCAACTATTCAAAAGCTATAAGCTAAAATGCCGATTTTTACAGAGTGAAGAGAGAACCCCGGGGGGGAGGGGGTACTACCACCCCAACTTGGGTAATTTTGATTTTACATACCCTACCCCAGACTAAAACTAAGAATTATACACCCTATCCAAGACTAAAAGACGGAAAATACGGTTTTACAATCGATTGCAATCAATATTTACTAACATTATTATTGTTTTTGGTCGGCAGAAAGCGTAGCCTATTCGCCAGACAAAAACGACAAAATCGTTAACCCTATCCCAGACTAAAATGATACCCTATCCCAGACTAAAATGATACCCTATCCCAGACTAAAATGATACCCTATCCCAGACTAAAATGATACCCTATCCCAGACAAAATGTCAAAAAATGATACCCTACCCCAGACCCAAAAGCCGAAAAACCATACCCTATAGGGCGGCACATACCCGTATAGCAAATATAGGGGACTGTRCATCTCCCCCCGGGAGAGAGAAGTATATTGAATGTCGTGGTAGTGTGTGTGAGTGAAAAGTATCCCCAATAGTCCCCTTCACAGTTCGGCGYGCTTGCAATTAATGATAGAAACATGTGAATAATTGTTCAAGGTGTTAAAAAAGGTCTCTATCATTGCAAGCTCACCGTTCGTCTCGCTTCGATTCAAAGGCACGGCTACCTTCCAAGATGGCGCAGAGAACTGTGAAGGGGRCTATTAGCGCTAGAACGACTAGACRCTTAAAAATATATTYTWATTAAATTTTGTTTATATCAAAAAGAGTTGTTATGATCGTTAAGGATAACGGATAATAACTGCCTAAAATATAAGTTTAGGGATAAGGCCGGAAAACTATATACTCAGTATTATTGAGAATTCGAATACACGGCATTCAAAGAAAATAGAAGAAAAAACAAAGAAGCGCATGCAGAAAAAATGAATAGACAAAACGTAGCCAGCTTGACTAGCAAATAATTCATTTTTCATCTCCGTTTTTCATTAAAATAAAGTATTACAAAAACTCATTAATCATTAATAGCACATATAGCTAGTAAAGTAACGTAAAGTATTATAGCGTAATTATCTCACAATAGGATGCACTTTTATTACCAATATTTGCGAATACAGTTTTTCCAGCAGGCGGAGTTTTCAACGAACATCAAACAAAACTAATCCGATTTGACAGAGACTGTTTCAACCGTCAAATCTCCATAAATAAACGAGTTTTCAAAAGATAATTAGTTTTTTTATTTTAGCTTTGCTATAATGATTCAAAATAAAAAAAATAATGAATGGGTTTCGATTCAGATGTTTTATTGTGATCGAGTTAAATTAAAACCGAAAAAATCATAGAGGAATAATCAATTATTGAGCAATTTTTCCGGGAGCAAAAACAAGTTGTTTATCAAAACGTTTTCCCGCTCATTTAACTTTTAGGGGGAAAATGTCATTGAAGGTAATTTCCGTTTACTTTTCCAAAATCTTCAAACGAAGAAAACTATCCTTCTCATTAGAAACCATTCTCCGACAAAAATAAGCCTTAAATTTCAGTTGTACGTATTGAACTAAATGTAGAACAGAAACTYGCCTTTACGATACAGATGACGCTTCTAATCTCTGTCCGTTGATAATTTAAGTCGCCCTCGCCAAACAGCTTGAAATAATGAGAAAAATATTAGCACAGGCTAGGCGGCGCGAAAATAAATGAGACCGAGAAATTATCACGTGTCAGTTCATAAAAGGCGAGSCAATTTGGTATGACGTCATTGATGACACTGTTTCCTCTTTTTGGCAAATTTGTTTTAGGAGCAAAGTCCAACTGGGAAGAAAAGTTGACCAATCATAATGTAAAATGAATAGCCAATCARAAGCAAGTAACAACTTGTTTGATTAAAAGCTTGTGACTGGCTGAGGTCAATGTCATCCTGATTCTGCTATCTTTTGATTGGCTCAAGTTTCCACCATGATTGGTTATCTTTATAGAGTGGTTGTGATTGGATAAATTAGTGTCCATACAACGAGTAGCTTGCGTAACTTGCCTGACTTTTTTTTTTTTTCTTTTTTTTTTCTTTTTTTTTTTCTAGAACGAAAGTCTTATTTTATCCATGGCTCCCTCCAAACAACTACAAGCAATGGTCATCAAAAACTTGATACTCGAGTTCGACCAAAGTCGTTTCACTTGCATCACAACTAGCTCAAATAAAAACGATCCATTTTGGACGTGGCTCTTTGAATATGTCGTCAACGACCATAGAAATGTCACCCAATCCTTCCCAAGATGCCTCATTCTGGAAAAGGACCGTGTTATTTCTCAACTTCATCGTACATTATCAGCTGTTCGCGCCAGTGGTGTGCGAATCATTGTTATTAATGCCGATGCATCTCAAACGAACGGTATACTTGAGATAGCACAGAAACTGAGTCTTAGTAACAATGGTGAGAAAGCCGTTTGGATATTAACTGATATCGCTTTAAAAACAAATGCTTTGTACGTACCTGAAGGATCTTTAGGTATTGCCAAGGCTTTTGACGAAACGTTGGCTACACGCGGAGTCAGCGAAGCAGATATTTTATTCAAATTATTGCTGTACGATGCCTTGAAAGTTTTGAGTAACTCTCTATCGAGAATACTGGCAAAAAGGCCGGACTTTTTACTGAAAAATGAAGGGAATGGTTTGACGGTTTCTTCAAGAAACGAACTTTACAGGTAAATGTTTTCAAAGTTGTTGTCGAGGAAACACAATTACCATGGCAATTGATTTTGTAATCAGCGACACTTTTGCAYTTTCTTTTCTTGATTATTATTTCTTTCTTTACAATGCCATGCCATGTTGTATGGCAGAAACAATCAATTCATTAAATGAAATAATGGCTTCAAGTCGATAGTGAACTTGATAAAATACAGTAAATGTATGGAAACATCAAGTACAACCTTGACTTGGATCTATTGTTTCTTGGTCACTTATTAAAGCGCATTCGGGAAAAGTCTATTCCTCAATCAGTCAATGACAAAATGGGAGACTAGGTACTAGTTTAAGGCTCGGATACTGGGCAAAGCATTCGGGTAGACAGGAATCGGTTAAACTTATKACGAAATGCAAGGCTAGAAAAATCGGCAAACTTCTAAATATTGTTGAATTGAGAAAAACTACAAAAAGGAAAACAAAAAACAAAAAATAAACAAACAAAGCAAAAAATAAAACAACAAACAAACAAACAAAACTTGAGTAGGTGAAATGTTAAAGTAACCCATCCAGGTACTAACACTCCTCCGACGGGCTTGACTCAGTGTCTTGAATGCGCAGATTTTTTCCACTGAACCACGGTTCAGCGAAATTAGCATAATAATAGCCGTGAAAACAATGCACCAAATAGACTAGACTTTTTAACATTATATTTTCAACCGATTCCGTGCGTGGCAGAGATGCAAGGGATTAGCCGA